ATTAGCAATTTCAAAAATGGTAGCTAAACTTGAAACATTATGTTTTAGCATTTAAACTTTCATTATATTGTGGTATTGGAGCATGTGAAGCTGGTATAGAAAAATACATGTATTTCTTTAAAAATGCATTTGAATTATATGAAAATATTCCAGAAAGTAAAATTCAACAAGAATGTATTACTATGGCAATTGGAGTCTTAACTACACTCAAATTAACAAAAGAAGATTTTATTGTTATTAGAGATATGATTATGAAAACAGTTAAATATCTAATTAAAACACCAATGAGATGTGAAATGATGTGTAAAATTGCTAGTTTAGATATTAAGAATAATAGTAATGTAGAAGATAAAGAACATTGTATTGACACTCTTAATAAAGCAAGAAAAGAAATAGAAAGAATTATTGATGAAGAAGAAAAAAAGAAAGTACTAATCATGTTTGTCAATTACTACATTTATTTCTTCCCATTACTTGACCAAATCACAGCTGATCAAATTACTCAAATAATTACCGAGATAAAAGAAAATAAAGAACAATTGGATGATGCTCAAACAACTATTTTCACTAATATAATGAATAGTATTACTATTTCAGCTCAAGAAAATACTAAGTTTGCTGACATTCAACTTTAACATGAATTGAAAGAAAAAAAAGATTTTTAAATTTTTTTATTTTTTTAATATTTCAAAAACCAAAAAATAAAAACTTAAAAAGATATTATGGACCAACAAAAACAAGTCATTGAAATTGATTCTGACAATGAGTCTGTTGGTAGTTGTCATCACGAAAATGATGATTCTGAAGTTGAGATTGTAGGGGTTCAACAACTTAACCCACAAGAAGAAATTGAGCGACAAATAAGGATGAATGGACAAACACGATACTTTATTCCTATTAGTGCACTTAATGATTTAGGTACTAATACTATAACACCTAGTATTTATTATAATGATGGATTCGACACAGAAACAAGTGAAGAATTATTTGATGAAGACTCAGATGATTTTCAAGAAAATAACTTCAATAGAATAACATATTTTCCTTCAATTAGCCTTGTTACTAATCAATCACAAAGAAACTTATTTTATAATTTTCTTCATAGGTCATATGCAGAACGTTCACACCGTATCAATTCACGTCAAGTTAGTGAAATTCCTGATTGGATGAAATCACCTAAGAAAGAAGCTAAACCTCAAGAAAAAAAAGAGAAAGGAGTTGCTGAAGAAGATGGATTAAAATGTGGAATATGCTGGGACACAAGCAGTGATGTTGTATCCACTGCTTGTGGACATATTTTCTGTAGAAGTTGTATGTGTGAATTATTCAAAAATAAAGAAACAGTAGAATGTCCATTTTGTAGAACCCAACTTACTAAGAAAGATGTTCATAGGCTTTTTTTCAATCATTAATTTAAAAAAAAAGTATTATATTTTAATTCTAGTGAACTCTCTTATTAATTTGTTAATTATTAAACGACATTCAATTAAAATGATGGTTTACTTATTTCTATTAAGGAACTTGAGGCTTCATGCTTTCTTTTAAAGAATTCATGATTTAAACATTGTTCTGATGTAAATCTCTTTTCTGGATCAACGCATAACATATTATTTAATAGGTCAATTAATTCTATTGAACTTGATTCGAGTTTCTTTCTTTTAATAATCTTTCCTTCAGATATAGCACGAGCTAGTTCAGAAGGATTTAATGAACAGTCAAATGGAAAACTATTACAAATCATATTATACAAGACTATTCCACAACTATATATATCTGCTTTTGGTCCATTATATGGTTGTCGTTTATAAAATTCTGGTGGAGCATATAACGTTGTTCCACATATTGTCCCAGCTATAAAATCATCTCCAACAACTCTTCCAAGACCAAAGTCGGTTACACGAATTTCATAATTTTTTCCTGTCCACATGATATTTTCCAACTTTAAATCTCTGTGAATAATGTTTTTAGAATGGAGATATTTTAAAGCCTCAAGGATTTGTTTAACAATTAAACGACAAACATCTTCTGAAAATGCAGTATAATCAATTTCTTCTTTTAAGTTAAGATATTTTTCTTCAAGGATGTTATAATCATCTACTTTATGTTTATTTACACAGTCTGCCATTTTTTCTTTTAAAGTATCAAGTTCTTGTTTATGAATTTCTCTTTCATGTTCATTAGCTAATCGAACACCTCTTAATAAATTTCCACCACTAATAAATTCCATAATAATATATACAAAGTCTCTAGTTTCTAAAACCTCTCCTAATTTGATTATAGATGGATGATTTACTTGTCTTAAAACATCACATTCATTTCGAATCATTTTATCTTCTCCTTTAGCTCTTGCTTTTGAGATATTAATTTTTTTCATTGCCCATAAAGTTCCATCACTAATCCTTTTTACTTTTCTAACAACACCAAATCCTCCTATTCCCAAAAAGTCTAATATTTCATATCGACTTTGTGGTCCACCTAAAGCAGATTCTTTTTTTTCAAATTCAATATCTACAAACATATAACTAATACATTTCTTCTTTTGAAGGTTTGGGTCTAATAAAGTAATTTCATCATAACATGTTAATGGAACTTGTTCTAATTTATCAATTAGACTATGATTCACCCATGTCCCATTACTAGAAACATCAGTAATAAAGAAAATTGTTTCATTTCCAATCATTCTTTTTTCAATTGTACAATGTTTTGAACTTATATTTGGTTCATGAATATCACATTCCTTATTCGCTCTTCCAATTGGTTCTATCCATTTTTGTAACGGAATGTCTTTATGTCCTGGTGTCATACATTTAAGAATTCCCCAAAGGTCCATTTAAATTGAGTTTTTAGATATAATCTCAAAATATTAATTATATTAATTCCTTTATAATACTTTTAAATGATAAAATAACATATATTTTCAGTTCTTCTTAGTAGTCTTTTATAAAATGCTTTTCTTCTTACTGTTTGTTGTGGTATCTTGCCAATTTTGTAATAACGAAAATTGCATCACACAAAAAACAAACCAATTAAAAAGTCTTTTTTATTCTCTACAACAATTACAACAGAAGTTTAAAGACTTGGAAAACCAAGAAATAAAAGTTATTGAGACATATACTTCTAAGAAGAGTCAATTAGAAACAAATCTCAGAGAAGCAGATGAACAAGGCAATATAACACAAAAAATAAACCAATTACGAATTGATTTTAGAAGCAAAATAGTTGAGATTAAACGAAAGGGTAATGAAATAAAAGAAGAGATAGGACAAATAAATCTTAAGATTGAAAAATTAAAAAATAAAATTGATAAGAAAAAAAGAACTATTTAATTTAAATCTTTTTGTAATGTTATCATTAGAACAAATAATTCAAAAAGAAAAAGAAATTAAAGGAAAAAGATTTAACTCTGATTTAGTTAGATTTAATGTATTTAAAGATACAATGGAAAGGTGGTTAGAATTTCATCAACAACAAAAAAAAGAAATAATGAATATAAAATATTATTGGTATTTTGTAGTAAAAAATAGTAGTTGGATTAGTGAACTTAGTCCTTCTACTTTAGACTATGAAGTATTAGAATATCTTACTGATATTAGTATTTCTAATATTCATTCTAAAATTGTTCCTCATACTATTTTACCTGAAGAACAAACATTATTAATTGGCTATACATTATCATTTGAATTTAAACAAAACCCTTATATGAATAAAACCTTTTTAACAAAAGAAATAACATATAATATTAATGAAACTAATTATCCAACATGTACAATTGTTAAGTTTGTTATTTTAAAGGATAAGTAATGAAGAAACATTTATTTTAAATAGTTCTGGAACAGAAATGACAGATTTGTATTATGATAAGCTTAAAAAGAATAAATCATTTTTTGATTTCTTTGAAATTTTTGATGATGACGTAATGGAAGAGATTGCACTAGTTGATATGAAAATTTGTAAGAAAATAGTAAAAGAAACTCTTACATTTTCATATCAATACTTTGAAAGACTAAACGAAGAAAGTATATCAGAAGAAGATGACTATGGTGAAGAATATGATGATTATTATTATGACGATGATGATTATTATTATGACGATGATGATTATTATAATGATGAATAAACATCCATTTATTATTTTCTTTTTATTTTTTAAATTAATAAGCAAATAATAAAGTATTAATAGAAATAGCTTCTATTGTTGCTGCCTCAGGGGAGACTAATCCCGTCCCTTCGTCTTCATCTTCTTCTAGCAGCTCTACAGAGTATGTTTTGTTGTGATCTCCGCAGTATTCAATGACATTAGTCATGTTTTTTATGACAAGGTTTTTAATTTCTTTCTCGATGTCTATCTCATTTCTTTAATTAATTTAATACTTCCTTTATTTATTAATCCATTGATTGAGATTACTACTGGAATTATTTTGACATCTTTAAATTTCTCTATTTTCATTAGAATATTCTTTAATTCCTTATACATATTTCTTTTCTTCCAATATTTTCCATTAATATTCTGATAATACAATAGTCATATCAAATATTAAACCAGTTTGGCAACGAAAAAAGCAAATAATTGAAAAAGAAGAGAAAGATATAAGCAAATAAAAAGAAAGTAAGAAGTAGAAGAATATGAAGAAAGAATAAAAGTAGAAATTAGAAAAAGTAGAAGAATATAAAGAGTCATAAAATAGAATAGATAATAAAATATGAATAGAAAGAAATAAATGGTGTGTTTTTATTGTAAAAAATTAGAAATATTCAATAAAAAGTGTCTAATTCAATTATGTAAAATAATTAATATTATTTTATTGATGAAAAATATTTTACTCTTTTTATGTTTATTATTTATCTGTATAACTTCATTATGATATTTATTATATAATCAATCATATGTGTTATGTTATTATAACATATAATA